TAAAGATATATATATATATATATATATATATATATATATACTTATAAGTTATAAAGATAGATATATATATATATATACTTATATATATATATAAGTATATATAAGAGTTAAGAAGCATTTATTTAAAAAAAGACATTTATTTACTACATGTAAAGATATTTTTATGTTTTTATAATAAAAGGAAATAGTAAAAATAATGTACAAGATTGGGTTAAATGATTATCAAAACACACACGCACACCTTAATCAGTCACACATGTCTCATTCTTAATCTTTCACATATCAAATCTCTTTTAGCAACACCCGCATTAGAAACGGCAGAAACATTTTCAACATTGTCTGCTATATCAATAAGTTCTACGTCATTTGTTTCAAAATTAAGTTCATCACCTCTCATTAAACAAATGTTATGTAATACGCAACAAGAAAGAATATGCATAGGAATTAAATCTGTTCGATCTATGGCAAGTGTAGTTAAAAGCCAACGAAATCTTCCTTTTAAAAGGCCAAACGCTCTCTCAATGACAATTCTTGCTGAAGAATGGCAGAAGTTATAATTTCGCTGTCGTTCTGTTAAATGGCCATTGTCACGGTATGGTACCAATAAATTTTCATGTAATTTATAAGCCGAGTCACCAACCAAATGGCTATCTTGTGGGAATTTCGTAACATCTCCCAAATAATGTTGAACTTCTGATTGACGAAATACCCGTTGATCGTGGACAGATCCAACATGTCCAGCATAACAATGAATAAATTGGCATTTATGGTCACAAATAGCCTAAATAAGAAGAAAAATATAAACATATGTAAACTCAAAACTTCCCATTTTTGTCCCCTCGTTCGCAATTGATGTAATCATGTGGGGAGGTTTTGATTGCTTAAACTCACAATGCGTGTCGCGACGCGTGACGCGCTCACTGAGAACGTATCCTTAGATATTAAGACAGTCTTGAAATAAAAACGGACTACAAAATAAAATTTGAAGTAAAACAATAAACACACCTGAAGTTGGATGGAATGGTGACCTTTGCGATTTATATAACATTCGGGATTGTTTTTTGGGGCTGGAATGTTTATATGTGTTCCGTCTATAGCTCCAATAATTTTAGAAAATCCACTTGCATTTTCAAATCCTGCCCACACTTCGTTTACTCGGTCACCTGTAGGCCACTTAATAACAACAGGCGCAAGCTCATTGAGTGCCTTTACCACTCTCCTTGTTATATATAAAGCAGTGCTTCTTCCAACATTAAATCGTTCACAAATTGACCTAAGCATAAAGAAATAAAAAGCTATATAAGATTTTAAAACTTAAATCATTAAATATATTAAATATTTAACAATAATTCTATTACCTAAAAGAATCTGGAGTAGCTAGTCTCCATAATGCCAACAGAAATTGTGTGCGCGGATCAATCATAGGTGTTCCAGGTATTACCCTTTTTAATCTTTGTTCGATACAAGATAAGATATAATCAAAAGTTTCAGGTAACATCCTAAATGGCAAAGACATGAAATATGAAAGACGTAAAATGTAATTTTTTAAAACAAAAATTATTAATATTAATAAACCATACCTGAAATGGGCTTTGAATTCTTCTTTAGTTAAATTTGGTATTATATGTGACACGTAATTTAAAATTCTTGGAACACGTCTTCTTACATTTCTACAATCTCTTATTATTTTTAATTCTTCATCATCGCTTTCTGATGATGAATCAGAAGAAGAATCTATTATTTCACGTATTATAACAACGGCAGTCGTTAAAATTTCGCGATTGTTATAATGCGTGATGATTTGCTCCTCTTGCTCCATAGCTTGCTCCATGATTTCAATTTTTAGGTTAATATTTGAAGTTAGGTTAGATCAAACGCGACGCTATTGCTGTTCATAGAGCTTGCATTCGCAAATGCTATCTTTGCTCTGCGAACGCAATTTGTAGTGTTAGCGTTGGTAGCGTGATAGCGAGCTCCCCGAACGCACCCTTGATGTGCCGTGTCATGATCGCCCGCGATCGCTCACCAACCCCGCGTGGTATGGCTAATGGTCATTTGCCGTATCTTCGCATTAATTGTTTAATATGGCCTCGACTAATTAGCCGTAGGTGACTAATCCCTCGCTACGCTTTTGTCGCTATTGCTTATGTTTCGCTGGTTCCGCTTACCATGCTCCTTTTGATATCGAGTCACCCGGTATCTGCACGCCTCGACATACCCCGTGCTTCTAAACGTATATACGTCACTGGTATCGCGATCGCGCCTCCCTTACTTCCGGTCCGCTGATCCATGTCCATTTCTCACCAATGGCCACGCCCTTGACGCGTCAACTGCCCCTATTCGCCTCC